TGTAACTGCCGCAGTTCATTACGGTTATCAGCAATGGCGCTTAATCCAAGTGGAAACTAAGGTAAGATAACATACCATAGTAAAACGCCACTTATACGGAACGACAACACACACGTATTGGCAAATTAATTCTACGCTTTCCTTGTTGGTAATTTGTAATATTAGGGTTCCCCAGTGCATTGTAAAAGAGGACGGAAGAATATCCGTCCCGTCGTAGTGGTACTGAGCGCTGTGCCTCCATGGCAAGTGGTTTGTACACAATCATGGAAGGAGTAATTTTCCCAGTTTGTAGAATTAATTCCACTACGCTAAAAGGAACATTTGTTTACTTCAAAGTTATGTGATATTGCATTATTTTGGTATTGTAGCACGTTAGGATGGATCTCCTGGTATTTACTGTATAACAGCATACGAAGTGAGGAGATTTCACATAAAGCACCCTGTGACTCTCTAGAGCAAATGGGCAACACTAAATTTGTGTCTGACTTGCTAGTGCATAGGCTCGAGCTTGAAAACGCTCTATGTGTAGGGACGAACATGAAATGATTCACACCAGTACGGCGTGATGGTAATCTACTCAAAATAGAAGCATGACGACACTTCCTGCGTTGTGTTCTAGATAACCGTGCACCTGTGAGCATATAAATATTGATAGTGGCATACATTCTTGAATACGGTAAGATTTAAGAAAAGGATGGATGATAAGTACGGAAGTCAAACAAGACCCTACAACTTGGCTTATGAGTTCGATAAGTACGCTTTCTATGCGAGAGCTTCTGCCACCATTACATCTACCGAATTCGTTAGGCAAACGCCTTCTACACCTATCTGTTCAACCAGGTAGAAGTGTGTATTCGAAAAATTGTTCCTTTTTGGCTAGACACTATATATCCTTGAATCGTAAATTAAGAGTGGTTCCGTTATCGGTTAGTCTGCAATGTCGAACGTTTGCAGGTGATCCGAGCGTTTGCGGCTGTTCTCAGGCGCACATACCTAGAACCTGTATTTTTGCCAAGTGTACTCGCAGTGATTAATAGATACCTACGATGAAACATGTGTTGCTGTTCATCAGCAACTAGGTTCTTGCAGAAACACTCCTTGGATTGCAACAGTGCAAATGGTAATTCCTGTCTTGCTTACGTCTTCTGTGCGTGTTTCGCTGACAGCATGCTTTCCATTCATGGGATATCGGATAAGAAAATTCGCTTCTACATTCAACGCATTGGGTTATTATCCCATCTGAGATCAGTGCATAAGTTAACTTGATTGCCCTTTTGAGCAAAAGCATCGTTCAGAAATCGATAAAGCGTAATAACCCATGACACAAGTTGACACGGTGAAGGATACTCTAGGCAATGTATGATTTTTGTGTTTTCAAATAGAGTGAAGTTAAGCACAATTCTAGAAGTGCGGGTCGGCTACTTCTTCCCTTTGTAGCTTTTCAGAACTGCTTAACGCGCTGGGTTGGTTATTGCTTAGAAGCTAAGACATTAGCCTTCCATATAGAGGTTTGTTTCTCACAGGTTGATGACTAAGGCTTTAGTTGCAAATTTCTCAGTCCAGCTCTTCGGGTACTTAGGTTACAGATATATAAAAACAAACTAGCTATAACAAGGATATTTGATCTTTCAAAATTAGCTAGTGAACGGTTAGAGCAAATTTTATCAGAAATGTGGTACAGCCATGTTGCATTCGCTACACCGGAAAGAAAACCTACCCGACTGGTCAATATTGGTGTAAAGCACATTAAATGATACCGAGGTACGCTAGACTGAAAATGGCTTAGAACAGTTAAAATAACTTATAGCTGATGACTTTCACAGAGAAGTGTATTGCCTTTGTTTTACTGGAGCACATAATTATCCAAAGACGTACTTTCTTAACTATGAGTCACACTGCAGTTAAATTAATTTATTGTCCACCTGCCATCACTGGATCTTTTGTTTGTAATAGACACCATATAGATATGTTCCCATAGTATACGTCGGAGAAACCTGCACAATATTTCTTAATTGTAATGCCATCCGGATAATCGCACAAGAATGGTAATCATTAGTTTTTCCTAAATAAAATTCTCTTACCCGATATCCAGCATTGCATGGAATGAGCAACACAAACACCGGGTTAGCAGTTGCATCCAGTAGTTAGTTAATACAAAAGTACTGGTGAGGTGCTTTGTATGCTCCGCCGGAATCAACAAAACAGGTTTACCGAACGCAATAGAAATTTCACTGTTAACTCATGCTACGTATTTCTCAACCAACGTTTCAACAAGGCGCTGCTTTAATCTAGTGCCAGCTAATGGGTGTATGTTATTTCCGGTCTCTAGCAAAGATACGACGCTTTGGTAATGTTCGCTAAATAGTTAGGCAAGCGTTCATGGGCACCAAGTTATCGTATCCGCCAAACTAAATGTATCACAAAGAGAAGGCTGCTATTTTCGGCGCATATTTCCGATGTGCATGTCTTAAATTCAATGCGTCTTCTAGAAACGAAGCTCTTGTTTGGCGCATCCATCATCATGTGCCCCTGTTTCATTGCTGAGCTAAGTGAATTCGCTGAAAGATAAAGAATGCATTTGTGTTCGTCGAGGCAACCAAAGAGATTTTCGTTGCTATCCGCCTCACCATGTTCTAACTATTCTAACACGTTGGAAAACGAACCTATTTATGTGCATATTAAAGCACTTTTTGGAAATTAAATGTAAATTTTGTTTCATCACAAAGGAACGATGGTCATGAAAATCACCGCAATATCGAACTTTACTTTGCATTTAGAATGTCCATTGTTTTTAATTAGCTTTTAGTTTGTGGTTTAGGTACTTGATTCTCCACATAAGTTGTGTCATAGTTTCATGTGATAGAGCATACGCCAATTTAAGTTACAGAATTCTCACGGGGTAGGTCCCTAAAGATATCATGCTTTCGAGGTAAGAATGTTTTGGTTCTGGCCTGACATTCTCCCAAGTGCAGGTTGCATAGGCAAAATGTTAGGACATGTTGCGCGGAAATATTTATCGGAAATTTCATCCATGTCAACTGATATAACCCATTTATTGGTGGAACGTTTTCGAACAAGTGAGAAACTTAAAAAACAATCAAAGTAAATGTGAATTAATTCCCTACTTACTGGCGTACCCCATTTTGATCCAGAGTACTTACGGTTAGAGAGCATCGAAACTACTTGTTCACACTAACTGAAGTTCATGGTAGCGCCCTCTAACTTATTTAAGTAAACGTTTCCACTGCTTTTGTTAGTGGTACACTTCCATCCTGATAGAATATTAAGTAATCTTAAGATACATAAAAGACGAACATCTTATTGAATGGCAGTCAACCATAGAAACCGACTGGTGTACTTGTTATGTTACCAAAATTGTGTTGTAAATAGGGATTCACATGCATTTGTTTGACGAATTACTACAGGTCTTGTAGTTGTAACCATAATGAGGTGCTCCAGTGACAACTCAGTAGCGCTGCGCATCGAAGTAGAGAAAGTGAAATTGAGCTTCCTTAAGGTAACTGGATTGAAATCGAGATGCGTCCAACTCTTTTCTCCATTTTTCATGTATGGTACGCTATAGCAGAGGCTTTAGAAAAGACTGTCAAAGTGTGTAGACATTAAAGGAGCTTGATATTGCCTCCACATCGGTGGCGTATTGAACCAAAATTTTTCTATTTGCCTACCTGGTTACAAGGGTAAATGTCTATCTATATTTTTGTGCGGACCAAGTTGTCTGAATGTTCTTCGCAGATCCTACATTCTGGACTAGTTTGTTTCCATTTAAACGAGAATATATGTTTCTAACTGCTTGTTTCCCTTCTTTATTTCGCGGTATATGGATCCTACACCGGATATGGCGTTTGGTATATCACTCAAGTCAACAAATAACCTTCCACGAGCCCAGTGCTGGTTATAGCCTGCCAGCCTTTTGAACCGTTTTATTACACATATAGTGACACCTTTCCTACATAAAAATTAGTTTCTTTCTGGCAAATGCCGTTATCCGATGAATCACTTCGTTCGCTGCTCTCCAGACGTTATACTGCTACAAGTTGATGTTTACATCTACGTCGGTTTAGTGTTAAATATTTACGACAATTAAAGCGATAGCTGGTACAACAGTTGATAACTTAGTGCCAGATGTGATAATGTGTAACAGAATAGCTCAGTTTAGTGTATAAATAGTAAACACTAATGACTTCTTTGACTAATATTACTCAGAATATAGCTAGATACCACGCCACATGTTTCCCAAGTTCCAGCTTGAGTTTGCATAAATAAAGCACTTTAAATCCCTGAAAGCTGTTTTCAAGGAGGAAGGATGCAATGTTTGCTTGAATTACGATAACTAAGAGGACGTGTTATATCTTACTTTGCTGCTAACATAGAGTTAGCATGTAAAAGATATACTTATATACCTAACCTAAGGACGATTACCCTATTATTTGTTAAAATCGCGGGTTTTCGATGGGACTTTCCTAATCTAGGCCAAACGTTACTTTGTGTGCCTACTTATACTGAAAATTAAACAGCATTCGTAGCATCTGTGAGAAATACAAACTTTCTTTTATTCATAAAAATATACAATGCGAAAGAAACGTTGGATGCGGGCAATATGAAATGACTTACGAACATAAATGTGCCCCAATGGCATTGAGGGTTCACTCTGAATATTGGAAAACGAGTGTCCATTTAGTGTAGACCCAGTGTAGAATATACAACATGATCGTTGGTCTTTGGAACACATAGAGATGCTGTACATCCTCCATTATATTTCTCGCCACATGGATGATAAGTCCAGAGAGGCTAATATCCAAGTTCACAAGTATAAATGGTAAAGTTGCGTATTGCACGAATTCCTTTAGGAATGGTCTTCTCTGAACGTGTGTGAACTAGATGTGGCTTTTGTAATGCGGACGACAAAATGTTGACCTTGTTGCTTCCCTGTACTTGGCACGCGAAAGACGAAATCAGGAAGGTCGGCGTTGGTGTACGGACTACGCCTGCCGAGAAAGGCACCATAACTGGCTATTTCTCAAGGTTCTTTTATGGATAATGGAATCACGTACGTCGTTTCGGAGTGCGATACCGTTACTTGCCGTTTTATCTCGGTTGAATGAAAGCATGCGGCGTAGGCTTAAGCGTCTGGTTTTTTCCACACTGGAGTCTAAGATAAACCGAGCAGCTAGTTCGAATACCGTCTCTATGTTTGAACGATTAAAAGCCGAACATTCTAAATGGATTTGGGCTCCGATCTGCTTACTCACTCTTTCCGCTCGCTCAGGTGCAATGCAGTGCAGCTGGTTAGCATTTTGCCAGTGATCGGTGGCAGCCATTCTCGGAACTTCGATGCGCCGATCAGACTTGCATCCAACCAACATCAAGGGAACAGACGGGCAATAGGAACGTACTTCGCCCAACCAGGTGTGAATAATGTTGTCCAGACTGGTGGGACAGTCTACTGCATAGCACAATAAAATTAAGCTGGCACCCGGATATGCCAGTTGGCGAATTTGATCGAACTCCTCTTGTCCTCCAGTGTCCCATAGACCAAGAGTCACTTGACGTCCATCTGCCAACTCGACATCTTTCGCCGTGGTCTCAAATACAGTTGGCGTGTATACTGATTGAAATTTATTTTGTACGTACGCTTGCAGCAACGCAGTCTTGCCGACCATGCCATCTCCGACCACAACAACCTTACGAGACCTGTCCAGCATGGCTGTGATCGAACTGTGGCATCTGCAGCATGTGATCGTCAAACACACACAACGGTCAGTCGGTTCATTGATGATGACCAATCGTTGCAACTGAAGACTTTCATACCGGCAGTGCGTGATGTGCCACAGCTAATCATGGTGGCACTTGTATTGCTACTCGTCTCCGGATTACCGATTGGCTGTTTCGATGCACACGCGTAGCACATTGTTGGCGCGACGTCTAAGCCTACGCCGCCCCATAGAGCACATGCGTCAGTGTGTGCTGACCGAGTCTGGAGGTCAGATTTTGAAGATTTTAATATCCCTATTTACAATTCATTCGTAGTGTTCAATGAACTGCCTACCGCAGTAGCAGCTATTGCTCGCTCAGCATGTTGTAGAGTAATCGGTTTTATGCTCAGCTGATCAATCGATAACTGAAAAGGGTAGCTAGACAGAAAGTCAAGCCGCGAAGTGAAGTGTTATTGGTTAGCAGCGCTAGAGCAATTTTGACTGAAAACTAGGTATAGCAGTGTTCCATGTATGGTTATCCAATGATGTGTCCCTGAGCAGCCATATAGACGCATCAGAAAACTTCATAATTTGCATGATAAACGTGGCTGCAAGATAAAGGAGTTTGCTCATTTTTAACATACATTGTCTAGGTAAGCTATTTACTGTACTTATCAACGTCTCATTGTCTAAAAGCTGAGAGCAGAAATACTCATTCCCAGGGTAGTTTTCCTAATAAAATCCCAACCGATCTTGACCAACGTACGAAATTGATATTTGCAAAATTATCACAGAGATGTGTATCCACACTACTGGAGGTTTGCCGATGTGTTTTCCATTGTGTTCGCAAGTTTAATCACACTAGCTACAGTAACTGAGTGTGTCTAGCTCTGTGGCATTCATTAAGGGGAATGAGCTTGGTTTGGGCCTTGTCCGTTTGTAATTGTCGGAAAGAATAGCTGTTCGGTACCAGAGCAAGGGAGTTTGCGCTATTACCTCGGTATGCCGAGTAACGGGAAGATTGATTGCGGTAAAAAGCCAAGGGCTCAGTTAAAAATTATCACACAAAATGAAGCGTATGCCAAAGGTTTGTCTCACGGAAGGACAAGGAAACGACATTCTGGTGATTATTAGTTGAAGAGAAAGAAGCGTCTGAGTCTGGTACCTGATTTATTCGTTTCGCTTCACTTGTTGTGTGTGTGAGCAACTGTGTTTCGAAATGACATTTCGCAAACATAAATATTTTACTGTTTTAATTCGCTCATTTATACCTATTATTGCATTTGGGCAGCAGAATCGAATATTATAACAAATTGGGGTGAGCATTTGTGGTAATCAATAAACGAAGATAACTATGGTTAACCTAACATGACGACAAGGATGCTGTCACAGCCAGACAAATTGAACATGTATGGGATATTAGCACGTAAACTGCAAGTAAACTGACAGAACTGGAAAATGTTGCACGATGGAGACTAATTCACTTGTGACAGTCGGATTTTGAACTCACAGCTAGCGTTAACCCTTGCAGAGAATTAAAATTAAATTGTGCAGCCAGCGATGTGCGTAGCAGGCCTATTGGTGACTGAGAATTAAAGGAAGTGAAGTGTTATGCATATTACATTACGCCAGTGTCAATTTTCCCCACCGCGATTTGTGTACGGTTCTCACGTGACTCTACTCAATTAACAAGCTAAATCTTATTGCTTTTAAAAAAGGAATAACTGAAACCGGATTCCAATTTTTGTTACAAATGCTCTCCAGTTTCCAAGGTCCCCAAGAGAGAGAATGCTCAACGGATCAATGAAGCTAAATATATCGGTCAGATATACTGGTTCCGTAGTTTTAATCGCAAAAAGGGTCTATTTCAAAGCAAAACCAAGAGTTTAGTGAAAAAGATATATGGCTCGTTGGCGCATTTTAGGCTGATACAACCGGACATCAGCAGTATGGGGTTATCCTGTTTTAGAGTAATAAAAGCTTGCTTAATGTAGAATTTTTGGTAACACAATTTCGTCGGAGAACAATGTGCTAAAGTTTATTTCGTGATGTGTATTCAATTAACTCCGTCAGCTACTGGTGAATTACTTTTGCTAGTTGCTAACCTCCGTTTTTAATGCCAGCAATTTAAACGGCTCTACTGCCAGCAGCTGCTAAACAATTAGTCCAGCTTCTCTGTATTTTCACCTGTATGCCACTTTGCAACTTTAGTGTAAAATAAAATGAATTGCAGCACTAAATTAGATAACACTGGTCGTAATGAAAAATCTCTTGATATGTAACATCAATTTAATACTTGTTACATGTGCTACAAATTCAAATTGCAGGGATGTTCAAAGTGGGGCAGCTTTTTAACGCATAACGGTAAAGGTACTCCTATTATAAACCCTTTTTGTCTAAGGCTACTTGGTGGGGTTCATTTAGAGACCTAATGAAATTCACTGTTTACGTTAAACACTGTTTGCGTTAAACAGAGCTTCTCTCTTGGTTTCTAGTAATTCTATCCTACAAGACCTAAGTTTTGAAGAATTAATACTTGTGTTGTTTTAACTCGGTCTCTTCAGTTTAGGCAAACCTTGATCTCTTTAACTCTATTACCGGCAGAAATACTGTTAGACAATATTGCGGCATCATAAGTCGACGCGGAAATCCTTACTATTTTTTTGTTTGTCTGTCATGTTGCTTTCTGAAGTGTACCGTTGGATGTGACTGTCACACACTGAAGGCTTGCCGCTGGAGTTCATTTACTACTACACCGCCCACCAGACGAGAGTGTTTTGTAGACGATACCAGGCGAATATCGCCAAATCTTCAACCCTTCAATCTTTCTCATGAATATGTCTTCAAGTAACTGACTCTGATTAGGCGTGTTAGGCGTCACATGCAATTGTAGGTGCATCTCTAAGCGTTTCTTAAGCCTGGAAGTTGTGTCACTATGTCTGTATTATAATTGGCAAGTGTAAGTAGTATTTTTAAACGTACACCTTGTACACTGTGACTGTGTCAGATGGGTTTATTTGAGTTTCTAATGTAAGTAAGCCATCCAAATGTATCCGTTAAGATAGGTCATATCAGTGGTCTACTCACCAGCTCAGCGATGTAGTTCATTATTCAGCAGGAGAGCGGTGTATGCAGTCAACTCCAGATGTTTTAGGCATAATATATATTCCTGCTGTGTGTGATCCCATATACTCCAGGCGCATATTGTTTTCAATGTTAATTTATGTCTGTCTTCAGTACTATACACTTAGGGAAGGAAGACATGTTCTTAGCACACAGATGCTGTTGTAAGCCTGGGGAAATCCTGAAATCTGGAAATCGTAAAGCTACTTGCACTTATTTTTAGTGCAGTGCTGTACTCTTTGAGAATACAGACATTGGAGGGGCCGAATGTCTGGTCATAAACATGCCTCCGGCTCAGCAACATCATCATCATCAAAAGCAGTACCTCAGCCATTTGAACTGATGCTTCGCTGCCATACAACCATGAGGACCTATGAAATAAAGAATAAGAAGAGGGAGAGAAGGGGGACTTACCTGAGAACCTTAGTGCCTTAAGCAAACATTCAGGGTCAAGGCGCCTACACCTTGTGTAGACAACATAACGTCACAAACAGCTGGCTATCGTGCAAAGATAAGGCGACATCGGCGAGACAGCTTCCTTGCGGCTTTCACTGCCACGCGTCATAATCAGCCATTACCCCGCAGATAACTCAGCACCAAACACATTTTAAACAGGCAATCCGGTTAGGAGACGGCAGCACACGCGCCACTGGTGTCTACTGCGTACCATGTCCTGTAAAGTCTCGAGCTAAGCACAAGGCGAGTCACGTGGACTCCAGCCCGGAAGGCGAGACGGACCAACGGTACCCAGTTTGGTTTTCAGTGACTTCGTTTCCCGCTGCCAAGTCAACTTCTGTCCACCTCGAGACTTTCGCCACCCTACACCTGGCAGACTAGGTAAGCGGTGACCAGGCATGCGTAGCACGTGTCCGGGCCAACGCAACTTATTCAGTGCTATCTGTTGTTCTAGGGAGCTAGCATAATTATCACTACCTAGTACCCGCCTAGGCACATCATCATTGCGGACACGCTGGTGCCATCCGACACCAGCAATGCTTCGTAAACAACGATGATCAGAGACTTGAAGGCGCTTTAGATCTCCAGACCGAAGGGCCAAGTTTCACTACCATAGACCAGAACGGCCCTCACTGTGGCCTTGTATACCCGGCCTTTCAGACGGAGGGAAACTCCATTCTGTCGCCAAAGATGCCGCAGGTTCAGGAAGGCAGTTCTGGCCTTTGCAATGCGTGAGCTAAAGTCAGCTTTTGTGCGCCCATTGTTGCTGATTCAGCTGCCAAGATAAGTGCAATGATCAACCACCTCGATTTTATCGTTGGCAAGCGTCAAGGGGTCATCAAATGGCTGGCGGTCCTGCAGCAACACTTTGCACTTTGAAGGTGCGAAGGGCATACCAAATACTGGGATCACTTTGGACAGACTATTCAGGGTTGATTGGGTTGCCCCAACATGGTCGGAAAGCAAGACGGTATCGTCCGCATAATCTAGATCAACTAATCTTTCACCAGACAGCACTTCAACTCCTACATTGTGAGATTCCGCAAGGGAAAACTTCATGATAGAATCCAAGACGAAATTGAACAAGAATAAGGAAATCCGACAACCCTGACGAACGCCACTTGTGGTCGGAAAGCTATCCGACAGGTCACTGTAGACCCAGATGCGGCCTGTAGTGTTCGAGTATAGAGCACGAAGGATGTCCACATATCTCGTGGGAACACCTTTCCGCGCAAGTATTTCGAACAGAATCGATCGATCGATTGAATCGAACGCACTCTTGAAATCGAGGAACACAGCTATTGTCGGTCTGCGGTACGTGTGGCGCTGCTCTAGCACTTGCCGCAAAGTAAATATATGGTCTATACAGCACCGTCCTGGGCGGAAAACGGCCTGGTCTTCCCTAATCCGAGCTTTACGTTCCACAAATG